GCGAGCATTGTGGCCAGCAACGTTACAAACGTTTGATAGCCTGGCCAATCCAGGTAATCCAGGTAATAAACATATTCCTTTATAAAATTATACGGATAATTACGACCTATTCATCTCTCAAAATGGCTTCTCATTCAAATTCATGACTCAGAGAGTGCTCTACGAATCAACGACTCATCAAAAAAAAACAATCTTATTGGAAAAACTGCAAAAGTGTATTACTACCTTCAAGAAGGCGGCAGTGCTGCATGATTCATAGGTTGGTACAAAATCTTTATAGAGTCGATGGAATGCTAATTGAATTGCTAGCTGCATCATTGCATCGGGCGATAACTTTGCCTTCTTTAGCGAATCTCGTGTCATTCCGAAATATTCCACTATTCCGAACTGAAGTGATGAACCGTTGGCGAGATGCTTCGACTGAGCATCAGATACAGCACCTTTCAATGAATCGCTCAAAGTGAACTCTTAAAATCAGATGATACATATGACGATCAAATTATAACTTCGTATTTCTAATATTATCACGAATACATGCTAAATTCGATGGATAACATGAACTTCAAAAAAAAAAAAACAACAGGCCAGAGCAATGGTTCAACTGATAGTTCTCACCAATCGGTCGACAATGTTTCTCGATATGAATGTCTTGATCAACCTGCTGATTTGGATCAACGAAATGATTGCGAGTTGTGTCACGATATGATTCTTCCATTAACCTCAAAACCGCCACTCCATCGCCCCACGAATGTTCGAAATTTATTGTCGACTGTCCACGAGCATCCACTATCAACTGAAAACATTTGTCGAACCATCTGAAAGNCGAAATTTATTGTCGACTGTCCACGAGCATCCACTATCAACTGAAAACATTTGTCGAACCATCTGAAAGCTTATGAAATTTGTTTTTATAGAATACGCATATGAGTCATTTGCATAACAACTGAATCAATGAATAGAAATCAAGCCATCAGAACAAAACAAAATATAGTCTTGCATTCACTGTGAGCGTTCAACTTCTCAAAATTCAAATTATTCCACTTTCAAATTCTCAAAACGATCGGTTCGCTAACTACTCAAATGGATCTGAAACAGTACAGGTGGCTTCCCAATCAATGAATATAAGAAGCTACCCCAATATGCACTAAATCATTTGAAATATTAAATTCTAGCTACCGAAATGTAAATGAAGAAATGAATGAATATAATCGAGCTTTAAGTTCAACCTCAACATCAAAAGTGAACCAGTTACCTATTTGAAGCATTGTCACCGTAGAGAAGATTTGGGATCAGGGTCTGAGGATCGCTTGAATCCAATGAGTCCAAACACAATGCAAATAGACCGCTATCAATTGTTTTCATCGCAGACGCATTCGCATCAATTGAACACAACTCTTGACGAACCTAAAAATTCCTACATCAATGCGAAACCAAATGCAAATTGGAAATAATTCAAGCACGAATCCATCCATATTTTAGGCTCAGAAAACAAAATTATATCCGACTATTGCATTGGATTGTAACTTTTAGAATGCACTTTACAAATGAGATCTCAATTCGAACAGAAAAATTCATCTCACTTCAGCCCATTGATCACGACCAAGCGATGTTAACGATGCGACACATTCGTTGTTCTGTTGTC